AAAGGAGATCAAAGGGATACAAATTGGAAAGGAAGAAGTCAAACTTTCACTATTTGCAGATGATATGATAGTCTACATAAATGACCCCAAAAATTCTGCCAGGGAACTCATACAGCTGATAACCACCTTCAGTAATGTGTCAGGATACAAGATTAACTTAAAAAAAATCAATAGCTCTCCTATACACAGATGATAAATGGGTCAAGAAACAAATCAGAGGAACACCACTCTTTACAATAGTCACAAATAATATAAAATACCTTGGGGTAACTCTAACCAAACAAGTGTATGGCAAGAACTTTAAGTCCTCGAAGAAAGAAATTGAAGAAGATATCAGAAAATGGAAAGATCTCCCATGCTCATGGATAGGTAGGATTAACATAATAAAAATGGTAATCTTACCAAAAGCAATCTACAGATTCAATGCAATCACCATCAAAATCCCAACACAATTCTTCACAGACCTGGAAGGAACAATACTCAACTTCATATGAAAAAACAGATAAACTAGGATATCTAAAACAGTCCCTTACAATAAAGCAACTTCCAGAGGCATCACCATCCCTGACTTCAAGCTCTACTATAGAGTCATTGTAATAAAAACAGCTTGGTATTGGCATAAAAACCAACATGTGGACCAATGGAATCGAATTTGAAGATCCTGACATTAATCCACATACCTATGAACAACCGATTTTTGACAAGGAGGCCAAAATTGTACAATGGAAAAAAGAAAGCATCTTCAACAAATGGTGCTGGCATAACTGAATGTCAACATGTAGAAGTGTAGCTCGAGTTTTCTCTCCGTGTCCCGCCAAGCCCCAGAAGTCCCTTAAACCACTTATAAAATAAACATACAGACGCTTATATTAAACTGCTTGGCCATTAGCTCAGGCCTATCATTGTCTAGCTCTTACTCTTATATTCAGCCCATTTCTATTAATCTATACTTTGCCACATGGCTCCTGGCTTACTGGTACCTTACATCTTCCTTGTCCTGGTATAAGCTCCAGGCACTCTCCTCCTTCCCTTCCTGTTCCCTTCATTCTCCTCTCTGATAGTCCCACCTATACTTCCTGTCTGGCTACTGGCCAATCAGTGTTTTATTTATTAACATATTTGCTATATAGAACATCCCACAGCATAGAAGATTACAAATAGATCCATATCTATCACCATGCATAAGACTCAGTTCCAAGTGCATCAAAGACCTCAACATAAATCCAGTTACACTGAACCTCATAGAAGAGAAAGTAGGAAGTAGTCTTGAATGCATTGGCACAGGAAATCACTTCCTAAATATAACACTAGTAGCACAGACACTGAGAGCAAAAATTAATAAATGGGACTTCCTGAAAATGATAATCTTCTGTAAGGCAAAGGACATGGTAAATACCAACTCCATATCTGACAGAGGGCTGATCTCCAAAATATATGAAGAACTCAAGAAACTAAACAGCAAAACACCAAACAATCCAATTAAAAAATGGGCTACAGATCTAAACAGAGAATTCTCTATAAAAGAATCCCAAATGGCTGAAAGACATTTAAGGAATTGCTCAACATCCTTAGTCATCAGGGAAATGCAAATCAAAATGACTCTGAGATACCATCTTACACCTGTCAGAATGGCTAAGATCAAAAACACTGATGACAGCTTGTGTTGGAAAGGAGATGAAGATACTTTTAATCAAAGGGTTTTCATCAGATGATATAAGCTAACTTTATATTATTTTATTAAGAAGTTATTAATCGTAATGAAATCTAATTGCTAAGTTACACAGTTTCCCTTTCATTCTAGTGTCCTTGTCATGTAGCCTTGGAATAATCTTCAAGAAGCTAGGGAAAACCACTTGGATAATTATAAAACCATTAAGAACCAGATTACAAGCAGATTCATCCCCAAAGGAGTGTAATCTCTGTATCTACGAACTTGGCTGTAAACACCTCTATTGATTTTAGTTTTGTTTATATTTTTATGCACAGAAATTCATTTTACTCATTCACCTGGCAGTGTTTGAGGAGCTTTGCATCATTTATTGTTCTAGGAATTGGGGGTAGAATATAAAAGAACACATGTCCATGATTATCAGAGATCTTACTTTCAAGACAGATATGCCTAACTCAGAACTAGTATCAAATTACAGTTGAAATGAGTGTCATGAAGGAGGTACATAGGTCTCCCAACAAGAAGGTATATGCTGAGCCTAGGCAGGTCCAAGCCCCTTCCCATTGCACCAAGGCTGAGCAAGGCGTCTGGAGGATGTGAGGATGTGAGGTAGCTTGGAGAGAGGGCTGGGGTGGTGGTGGAAGGAGGGAGGAGGTGGCATCTGTGGGTGGTATGTAGAGTGAGTAGAAAAATTCTTAATAAAGAAAAATGAAAAAAAAGGTGAATGCTGGATGACCTCATTTATTTTGTTTCTAATATCCTATAAACAAGAAAACTCTGTACAACTTAAAGAAATGGTCACAAAGGAACTGCATAGAAACCTGCCAAAGTTGATGGGGCTGTTTTGAAAACTATTGCCGTGGATTTTTCCTAAATCCCAGTATAATGACTGTCTTCTGATACTTTCAGATACAGCCCGACAACAGGAGACAGCACATTATTTTGATCTCACATCTTCCTGCTCTTTCCAACTCTGGCTCATTTCTTGGGCTTTTATCTCAGTGTTGGTTCCAATCACATGGCTTGGGAATGGCTCTACGTGAAACATGGAAGTTACTTAGGTAATCTATACCCCTCAGAAATGTGTGGGTGTTAGTTCAATCATTCCCATCCATGCCATGCTCACACTTATTGTCAATAGTTTTCTTCATGCTAACTAGTTTCATTTGAAATCTATGAAGTATCTATGAGTTTTCCTGGAAAAATATTTGCTTCAATAATCGGTGCTGCTATAAAAATAAAAAGTGAGATACATGCTATTCCTTAAAGTGAAATTTTTGGTGAAGAAGGTATGACCATCGTTGTTGGTATCTGAATGTGTCCTTGACTTAGTTAGGGTTTTCTATATTGCTGTGAAGAAACACCACAACCACAGCAACTCTTATAAAGGAAAACATTTAATTGGGATTTGTTTACAGTTTCAGAGGTTTAGTCCATTATCATCATGAAGCGGAACATGGTAGCGTGTAAGCAGATATGATGCTGGCTGAGTAACTGAGAGTCCTACATCTGTGGGCAACATGAAGTCAACTGACACACTGAGCAGTATTCTGAGCATAGAAATCCTCAAAGCCTGCTCCCATAGTGACATTCGTCCTTCAACAAGGCCATACACACTCCAGCAAAGCTACACTTCCTAATATTGCCACTCCCTATGACATTATGGGGGCCAATTATATTCTAACTACCACAGTTCTCATACAAAAAGGCTCATTCATAATTTTCCATGTCTTTGTAAATTGCCACCCTAACATTCTATTTGCAAGGTCAAAAACACTGAAATGCTTTTCTATTATGATCCTTCTCTGGTAAGCCATATCAAAGCCATGTGTATGTATTAAGTTCTCTTCAGGATATATCCACAATTCCATCTCCTCTCACTGCCTTTGAATTCTGACTCTTCTTCTTTTCACTTTCATGTTCTTTTTCCTTCATATATTTGTAGATTTGTCATTTAAAATATGGCTGTAGGCCACTGAGGTGGCTTTGTAGGTTAGGATGCTTGTCATCAAATTGAAGACCTGATTTCCAGGACTCACATGGGAAAAGGAGAGAGCCAACCCTCTCATCTTGTCCCCTGACACTCCTTTCATGGAACCCCTCCTTCCACAAATCAATAAATGTGATTTTTAAAATTTATAAATCAGACCTGGCTCACATGAGACCTCTAAGTTTTATTTGTCTTATTTTTTTCTTAGTGCTATTTGCGAAGAACACACACACACACACACACACACACACACACACACACACACACACACACACACACACATTTATATGTATACTTATATGTATACCAGTAGGTAAGAAAGTTATGGATACCCAGAGTCCAAGGAAGATGCTACGTCCAGCATGAGATATCTGAGGAAAAAAATCTATGTCCACTATGCTCTTATGTCTGTTAACTTTATTCATCTAAGACAAAATTCTATCCATACAGCTCCAGCTCCGTCAGGCATTCAGGGCAGGAATAAATCTAGATACATCAAGCTCTTTGTCTGTCCACTTTATTTCTCTGGGATGAAATCCTGTCTACATAGCTTCAGTTCAGTCCTGACACTGAGTTCCTCTTTGTCCTTTCTTTTGCTGCCCTCTCATAGTCCTGCTAACAACTAAGCTCTTATGCTTCCAGCCTCATCCCGGTCCTGTTTCTTCATCCTCCATCTCTACTTGCTCTCTATTCCTGGCTTTGATGACCTCCACAAGAGTTCTGCCTTACCATCTACAAAACCTCTGTGTTCTTCCCTTCTCCCTGGTAATGCTGTTCTGTCTCCTCTACAGAAAACACCTGTTTCTTCTTCCCCTCCTCACACAGTTCTCTGCCTCCTCAGGAATTGCTCTATCCTACCTTCCACCTTGATATGTAAAAACCTCTTTTGTTCTCAGTCAGCTGCTCTGAAGAACCACTAGGCCTCAAGGCAAGGGGATGGTCTGCACTTCATTTGCACAAGAAACAAAGCTATGCATCTACTGCCTGCTTGGCTTTGCCTGAGTCACCTTATCCAAGTACTGGCCTGAACAGGAAGTTCACACACACATTCTATGGGAATTGTGACCACAAGGAATTCATAACAAGTCACAGCTAAATATTAAGCTGTGCAACACCAAATAGTCCATGCTAGATGGCTTCTCACCTTACTGACCCTTGGCCTGGTCAAGGTATAGCTTTAATGCACAGCTGGACTCCTGATAACATATTCTTGTGGCTTGCCACAGAAAGTAGGCTAGAGAGACCAAGGAGAGTAAAAAAAACACTGTGTTGGGAGCAGGGACACTAAAATGGGGAAGGAGGTTCACCAAAAATAAACCACACAGACATTTTATATTAAGATGACCCTTCAACTTGAAATAGTATTCTTACATGCAAGACAATTTAAAGGACAAAATGAATGTTTAAATTGCTAGCTTAAAGGTGCTGTTTTCTATACAGACTGAGAGAATATCCCACCATTCACAAGTTTTTTTATGGCGTCTTTGACATCTTTGTTCCTAAGGCTGTATATAAGGGGGTTAAGCATGGGAATCACTGTGGTGTAAAAGACAGAAGCCACTTTTCCCTGGGTTGTGTCACCTGTAGATGGTTTAAAATACATGAAGATGATGGAGCCATAGAAGATTCCAACAGCTGCAAGATGGGAACTGCAGGTGCTAAAGGCTTTGGATCTGCCGTCGGCTGAACGTATTCTCAGGATGCTGGCAAGGATGAAGGCATAAGAGATGATGATGGCAAACACACTTGCAAATACATTAAATCCAACCAGTATCATCACCCAAAACTCCTTGGTATAGTCTCTTGAGCAAGCTATATTCAGAAGAGGGAGGATGTCACAGAAGTAATGGTGAATGATATTAGTTCCACAGAAGGAACGGCTGGATATGTAGCTGGTATGGACCGTGGCCCCAAAGGCCCCCATAGCATATACAGCAGTGGACAGTAGCACACAGACTGTGTGAGACATGATGACATTGTAGAGCAAGGGGTTGCAAATGGCAACATAGCGGTCATAGGCCATGACTGTTAGCATGTAAGAGTCATCAATGCCGAAGAAAGAGAACAGAAACAGCTGGGCCATGCATTCAGGAATGGATGTGGAATTCTTCTCTGATACAAAGTTCACCAGCATCTTTGGTATTATAACAGAGGAGTAGCAGAGATCTATGAAGGACAAGTTACTGAGAAAATAATACATGGGTGTGTGAAGCTGAGAGCTAATCCTGATTAAAAAGACTAAACCCAAGTTTCCCACCATGGAGACCACATAGATCAATAGAAACAGAGAAAAGAGTGGGATCTGGAGCCCTGGCTGGTCTGTTAACCCCTCAAGGACAAATAAGGCAGAGTGATTTCCTGGGCTCATTCTTCTCCAGCTGTGAAAAGTTGAGTGGTTCAAAGGAGAGAGGCAAACATTACCGAATGGTAGGATTTAACAGTTTGCAGTTTGACAAATGACATATTTTTCAACAGAACCCAATTTTATGAATCTAAACTCAACAAACTAATAGTACTTCTTTGAGTATCATCTACCATCATGACTATACTTCATTTGGCTTCATTTTTATTACATGCATTGAGAAGTGAAACACATTGGATTTCTGCTTTATTTTCCTCATGTGACATTTAAGTGTGAAACTCATGTTGTCTCTCCAAATGAAGCTCTAGCTTTTCCTGTAAAAGAAGAATAGCTCTGTTATTCATGCACCTTCCAGGAGCACCTGCTCAGACACCTTCTTCCATTGGGTGAGTTGGGACTGTACCGGCTGTTGTCTCTGATGTCTTCGGCCTTGAACTCCCCTAACTAATGCTGCTTGAGCTTCTCTTCCCTTTAGCCCATCCAGTCCCTGACTCTAATCTCAAAGACGTTGCTTTCTTCTAAGCTTTCTACATGCACTCTGCATTTCTGGTCTTGAATTAGATTTTTTTTGCTGCTGCTCACAAGTCATAGAGCTGTGAGGAGAATAAAGCCCATTTTGAGACGTTGTATAGAAGGTGCTGTGATCAGAGAGCTGTTGTCTTGTGCCGAAGGAAAGCAGGGAAGGGAAAAGAAAACAACACAATAGGTGCTCATGTGCCAGGCAGAGTACTGAGGGCACACTTATGACCCTTATGATGTGAAAAAGACTGCAGAACAACGCATGAGAGAGAGTTGTCTGCTTTGCAGGTGAGCAACTAGAGAACGTTAGTTTTGCTTGAAGGTAACATTATTTTGCCCACTTTACATGTATTTATATAAGATTTCCCAATCTAGTGAACGTTAAGGTCAGGTCTTATGCCTTTGCCTGTTTTATTTAAAAAGCAATAGACCTACCCTGCAACAGTTTCCTTTTGCGTCTGAGCACAGACTGGATGGTAACTTCTGCATTATGCTCATTATTCTAACTTCTCAACAATTTCCTCTAATTTTTTTTTTTTTGTGATCTCTGACAGCATTATGCTAGTCTATTGGACACTACTAAATACTAAAAACATTTTTTGCCTCTTGTTTGTTTTACTAAGACTGCATTTACCCTTAATTATCTTAAGGTAGAAAAAGAACAGTACTAGAAAAACCCCATGGACACATTTATATACTGAAGTTAACTTGTGGCAAGAAGTCCCCTGTGTCCTACAATTGGAACTTGTTATAGAGCAATGGTGTCCTGAGCATGCACACATCTTCAGTTTCTAGACATTATATGAAATGAAGCATTTCTTCTTTGAAATAAATAAGTAAAAACAGACCTCTGGTTACAAAGGATGGGATAAAATATAACTGAATTACTAAGACTAGGTCTGGGCCAGTGGAATACTGTAGTGATAAAAGGCTATGACAAATAACACTAAGTGTTTAGGTGAACAATCATAGTCTTTATCATTCTTATCAACTCTAAAACACTGATTTTTGGCAAAGAAAGTTCGCTGATGTTTTATAGGTTTCCCCTTTTCTAATTGTGGAAGTATTCCTATTCTCGTATTCATCCTATTACCAGTTCACCTTTCATCAAACAACTTAAAACATCTCAGCATCCAGGAATGATTTCCTGAAATTTCTGTTGCTTTGATTTCTCCATACCCCAAGTCTACCTTGATCTGTTTAATAAGCACTATTCTATACTTTCTTGTATCAGCATATTTGATCATGCTGTTGGTAATGGACTAAGGATTTAAAGTCAAATGGAACAGATTCACTTTCAGGCATGGTCGCTTCCCCTCTTTGCGATCACCTCCACCCTTTGATGCTGAAGGTATCACTTCCTTGTATAAAATTCAGTTTCTTTACCTACAGGGAAGATCAACTCCCACCACTTGTGGCTTTTGCAATGGTCCATTCATTTGCTCATGCAAGACTCTTGAGAGGCTTCTACATTCCAAAGTTGGAATGTTATATGAGGCACCCCCTGCTGTCAAAAAGCATTCCCTCCAGTAGAGGAAATCAATAACCAAGAAACAGACAATTTAGAATGGAGAAGTGAAAACTGCCTTAATAAAAATAAAGCAATGTGGGGGCCACAGCTAAGAAGGTTAGCAGAGGAAAGACTCTGTAGGAAGTGAGGTTTGAATACAGTTCTTTTTTTTCAGTAAATAAGAAAATATATTTTTAATCTTGAGATAACAAAGTCCCAACGCTGACAAACCATTTAAAAAATAACGATGTATTTAATTGCATGAATCAAAGACTTTAGAATTAGCAAACTAACTGGACAGCATTATACCAAATCCCACCCCAGCCCTTCATTCATTTTCTTAATTAAAATATTTAGTGCTAAGAGTTCTAATATTGATAACAAGTGATTTATCATTTCTTTCCTTTAAATTTATCACTTTCTTTGTTCTAAGAAAGCTTAGAATGTTAGTGAATCATAAAGTATCTCCCTATATATTCTTCTGTAAGCATCATAGTTTCATAGTTACATTTGGGTTTCTGACTCATCTCAAATTAATTGTCATGGGATTAGAGATGGTATTTATTTATATTAAACACATATTAGTTATTATACCCCTATTTACTGAAAATGTTCTTTATCCTTCTGTGGACTGCTTTGGCAAACATGTGAAGAGTCAAAGGCTCATATAAAGTAGTTTTAATTTCTGGTTACACATTCTGTTCCACTGATTACTTGTCCACTCTAAGACACTATCAATTACTGTAGCTTTACAGTGTGTCTTGAAGTTGAATAGAGTTCTAAATGAAGTGAAGGAGGCAACCATGGGATTATCACGATACAATTAGCTTTGGAGAGCACACCAAATTCAAATGTTTCCCGAGGCCATTCCTGATACATTTGAGAGAGAGAAAACGAGAGAATGGCAGAGTGGGGTTGGGCACCAGGCGCTGGCCTTGGTAAAACAAAAGCAAACGAACAAAAGTGCTAAGTCTTCCTCAAGTTGTGATGAGCACTGTGGGGAAGTTTGCAGAGGTAGTGCATTTCACTTCCTGTAACATTTTCACAAGGATCTCTTAGGCTCTGCTTATTAGGTCAAGAATAATCGTAAAGGTCACAGAGTATGTCTAGTGACTCACATAGAGGTATAGTCATGTAGAAAGATGTGGCTTGGGCATCCTGGTAATGTAGAGATGGTAAACCAGACAAAGGAGTGAGATCCATTTGAAATGGATGGTATCTGTGGTTTGTGAGAGCCCAGGAAGTCCAATATTTGTGCAATTCAGGATATAAATACATTAAAGATGCTTTTGGAGGGCAGGGTTAGGGGCCTAGTTTTTCTGCTTTGAATATACTCAGCTTGATGTTAATTACAGGACCGGTGGATATGTTGAATAGGGAACTAAATATGAGTTTGGAATTCAAGAGAGATGTCTGCCTGGTATGTGGTTTTCTGAGTCATCAGAACAAATTTGGTGCTTAGACATTGGATGGAGACATTATGGCAGTGACAGGCAGATATGAAATTACCAATAACGTTTTGGCAGTGCTTTTCACTGGAATTCCAGGAATGCTGCTGAACAGTAAGGATGCTTCAAGCCTCTTCAGTCTTTTCTTCTATTCACTTTACGTATTTACCATCTTGTCTTATTCCCCATTGCTGTCTGTCTAGAGGAGCAGTCTGGGCATCTGTTGAAAAGAACTGGAAGTCTCTAGAAAAATCATGAAGCACAGTGGACGAGGATGTCCTGTACCGGCTTGTTCTCCCTCCCCCTCCATTCAGAGTCTCTTTGTATTGTCTTTCACACACATCCTGACTCCTTCTTCTCATAACATCCAAATAACAGAACCAGTAACACACACAGTGGCCTTACATTTTCTTTCTCTCCTTTGTCTTTGCTTTCATTGACTTGATCACTTTTGCATTTTTAATATTTTTCCTTACCAGTTTAAACAGTAAGTTTGAATTCTATAAATATTAAAAATATACTTCCTTGTGGACTGTACCACTGACAAACATGATTTAGACTTTTTTCCCTGACAAGGTATTAGATACAAAAATAATAGCATTTTTCAATATATTTGGAACACTGATAATGTAATCCTGAGGAATACAAATGTTTGAATAAGGAAATATGAGGATAAAGGTAATGTTCAAGGCTCAAAATGCTTTAATAGTTTTGCTTAAAACATCTATGATTTGATATGAGAATTATAATCAAGGGAGAAACATTCAGATAGAAAATTTATGTAGAGTAAAGGAGTCTTAGATAATGTCAAGAATGACTTGCTGTTTCTTAAGATTATCTTTAAGAGCTCCAAATTCTGGGCTGGAGAGAGGAGGGCTCAGAGCTCAGTGGTTGAGAGCACCGACTGCTCTTCCAGAGGACCTGGGTTTACTTCTCAGCACCCACAACTGTCTGTAACTGGCAGCTCAAAACTGTCTGTAACTCCAGTTCCAGGGCACCCAACACCCATGGCAAACACACAAATGTACATAAAATAAAAATAAATAAATTTTAAATAAATTAAATTTATTTATTTTTATTTTATTTATTTAAATAAATTTAAATAAATTAAAAATAAATTTTAAAAAAGAACTCCAAATTCTTCATTGTAGGTAGAGAAGGGTGCCCTTTCAGACCTTGACTAGCACCGTTTATTAAGTGTGCTAAGAGTTAGGAACGTTCATATTAGTTTACAGATTGACTAAGTTCTTCCCTGGAAAGGCAGGATAAACCCATTAATGCCAGTGTCTGTCTGTTAAAGGGATTTCTGACCTGACGAAGCACGGCACTGTGTGTTGTAATGCACCTGAGAGTGCTCTGTAAACTTTACTACCAATAATAAATATTAACACAAATGTGCTTGTAATGGGACAGAAAGAGTAAAGGTTGGGATTAGGAGAGATACAGAGTCTGTGGGAGCAGTGCTTTGTATGTACTATACGTTGTGTTCTCTGTCATCAAGCATATGATCCCTCCTCACCCAACAGATATAAACAATAGTTCCATCAGCATAGACACTAAGAGTGTTTA